AGGGTCACTATGAGTAGGTACCAACTCGATGGCACCTAACAACAACAACTAGCTAATGATCATGAGCATTTTTCATGTGTTTTCTAACCATTTGCTGAAGTATCTGTTCATATCCTTTGCCCCTTTTTATAATTGGATTATTTGTCTCTCTGCTGTTGAGGTATTGAAGTTTACAATAATTTTTAGAGATTAGACCATTGTCAGATATGTCATAGCCTAAAAAAATTTTCCAGTCTCTAACTTCTTTTTTTTTTGCTCTTTTGGAGAAGTCTTTTTTGATGAACCTAAGGATTTAATTTGTAGAAGGTCCCGTTTATCTAGTTCATCTTCTGCTGTCTGTGCAATTTCAGTTAGGTTTAGTTGTTGATTTATATCATATATAATAGGCCCTAGCATTGTCCCTATTTTTTTCTTCAATGCTCTTTATAATTTAGATTTTATGTTTAAGTCTTTGAACCATTTAGAGTTATTTTTGTGTATATGGTGTGAGGTATGGGTCCTGTTTTATTTTTCTACGAATTGGCATCTAGTTTTATCAGCACCATTTGTTAATGAGCTTGCCCCTTCCCCATTTAGTGTACTTGTACTTTTGCCCTTTGTCAAAGATCAACTGTGGCTAGATGGATAGATTTATGTCTGGATTCTTAATTCTGTTCTGGTGGTCTATGTGTCTGCCATTGTACCAGTACCAGGCTGTTTTGACCATTATAGCTGTATATCTAGTACGTTATGAGATCAGGTGGTATGAGGCCTCCGATTCTGTTGTTCTTTTACGCTTTGCCTGTCCAGTGCCTCTTTCCTTTCCATATAAAGTTGGTGATTGGTTTTCCATCTCATTAAAGAATGCTGAGGTGACCTTGGGTTGGTTGCTTCTTGATTTTCCTTATCCTCTTCATTGCCGCCCCCTCTAGACTGTCTTAGGTAAGGAAGACCCCTACAAACTTGTGGTCTATAACCCAGATACATACTCTGTCTCACTGGTCTACCTTATTCTCCTGCACCCTGGTTGTCAGCACCCTCCACCACCTCTCCCTACTCAGGCAGGTTAGAATACTGTGGTCACTGCCCATAGAGCCTCCACAGGTAGTAAGGTGGGAACGGTCACTTGCAGCAGGGTCAGCACTGTTGGACCTGGCCTTCCGGAGCACTGTCTGATCCTTCCTTCTTTTCCTCACTCTCACTATTCTGGTAATTTTGCTGGTAATTGTGTGGAGGACCCCTACGACATGGGTTAACCCTATGATGATTACAGTTGCTGTGGTGTTTCTGCCTGGCTTTGCTGTCCGGTTCATGCTAGTTTCATAGAATGAATCCAGAAATATCTCTCTGTTTTCTACACTCTGAAATTGTTTCAGAAGTACTGGTGTGAGCTCATCTCTGAATGTTTGGTAGAATTCTTCATTTGGGCCAGGACCTTTTTTTTTCTTGAGAATTTTTTTTTTTTATTAACTCTTTATTCTCTTCTTTTGTTATAACTTAGCTTTTCTACCTTAGTTTATGTTAGCTTCCATAGGTAAATTAGAGGACATGTATCCGTTTCAAGTTTTCAAATTTGCTGGAGTATAATTTTTTATAGTACTCTGGTATGACTCATTATATTTCAGCTGGTTCTTTTTATTGTTGTTGTTGTTGTCTTAAAAATAATACATTATTGTGTTTTAGATGAAGCTTAAACAGCAAATTAGGTTCCTGTCTAACAATTATTTATACAAATTGTTCCGTGGCATTAGTTACAATTTTCACAGCATGCCAGCTTTCTCATTATTTCCATTCTGTGTGGTTTGTTTCCGTAGATCTAGCCTTCTCCTCTTTGCTCTTAGTTAAATGTTGACAGTTGGCTCTCATAAAGTTGATTATTTAAGGGAGTACATTGTTATGTTGTTAAGTGCCATGGAGTCAGTTGCAACTCATAGTGACCCTGTATAGGGCTCCCAAAGAATTACTGGTGGGTTTAAACTGCTGGCCCTTTAGTTAGCAGTCCAGTGCTTATCCTACAGTACCACACCAGGACTCTAGAAAGCATATTACTTGTGCTTACATTGTTTATTTTATAAGCCAATCTATTATTTGGCTGAAAGGTGACTTCAGAAATAGCTTCAGGTCTAAGTTCAAAGGGTATTTTAGGATGGTTGTCTCAAGGGTTTATTGTTTTTTCTCTATTATGTTCTCTATTGCATTTATTTCTGCTTGAATCCTTACTTTTTCCTTTTTTCTGTGGGCTTCTTTTGCGGCTCTCTAATTTTGTTTGGATTTGGGCCCTTTCTATTTTGCTGGTGTGCGCTTTTGTTGTTAGAATCCGTGAGCGCTGCTTTGACTGTGTCTCAATGGTTCTGGTATGTTATGTGTTCATTTTCATTTGGTTCTACCATTTGTCAAATTTCATCTTTGATTTATTATATTATTACGCTGTGGTTTCTAAGCAAGGTGTTATTCAGTTTCCATGTATTTGGGGGGTTTTATTTTTTTCCCTTATTCTTCCTAATACTGATTTCTACTTTTATAGTATTGTGATCAGAGAAAATGCTCCGTATTGCTTCCATGTTTGGGATCCTATTAAGGCTTGCTTTGTGATTCAAAATGTGGTCTCTTCTGGAAAATGATCCGTGTTCATTGGGAAAGAATGTAGAATTTGCTGTTGTTAGGGTGCTCTGTGTAGATCTGAGACCAAGTTGGTCCATTGTGGTATTCTGATCTGTGTCTTTGCTTTCTTTTATTCTGCCCTTTGCCAAAACATGTGTCAAAGTCTCCGATTATTGCTGTAAGGTTGTCTACTTCTCTTATCAGTACTGTTCATTGTATTTTGCAGCTTTGTCATTCATACATATTTATCATGCTTGTGTCTTCTGAGTAGATTGAGCCTTTAAACATTACATAATTTCCTTTTTTATGTTTTATGGTGGTTTTTGCTTTAAGGTCTATGTTGTAAGACATTATTATCACCATTCCTGCTCCTTTTTGATTGTTTGCTTGCTATAGTTTTCTCCATTCTCTGAGTATCCATTTATGTCTTTGTGTCTCAGGTATGGCTCTTGTAGACAGCATACTTATCGGTCATTGTTTTGTTTTTCTGTTTGTCTTTGCCCATTCCGCCACTCTGTCTCTTTACTGTTAACTTTGTGCCATTTACGTTCAATGTGATTATTGATAGGTATTGGTAGGTATGAGTTTACTGCTGTCATTGTGTGTGTGTGTGTTGTGTTGATGGTTTCTTTGTTCTAAATTATTTTTTGTGCTGAGTTCCTTTAGTTTGTGGATTTTAATTACTTTCATTGTTGTTTTGTAAAATTGATTTTACATTTACTGAGTCTATGTTTTTCTTCTTTATTTGGATGAATATGTTAGTTAACTTTCCTTGTGGTTACCTAAATTTACCTTTATCTTCCCAAGTTTAAAGCAATCTTTTCTTTCTTGTTGCCTTGACTTCCTCTCAGTATAAAAGTTTGATAACTACATTTCTTCCCCCACCCCTTTTTTGACATTGTCATTGTTTGCCGATCGACATCTCTGACTCTCTGTTTTCAGTCTTTTAGCTTTTGTTTTTGAGAATTCTTTATCTGGACTGATATTTGACTGATGCTGTCCTGTGTCCTAATCTAAGATTGTTCTCTGGTGCAGTTGTTTCTCTCTCGGTCCTCAAGAACCCCTTTTAATATTTTTGCTAAGGTTGGTCTGTTTTTTACAAAGCCCCTCAATTTCTGTTTATCTGGAAATATCCTAATTTTGCTATCATATTTGAGAGACAATTTTGCTGGATATTTATCCTTGATTGGCAATTTGTGTCTTTCAAGTCTGATATATGTCATCTCATTGCCTTTTCTGTTTTTAAAAAAATTATGACGTGGGTGAAAGTATAAAGAGCAAATTGGTTTTCCATTCAGTAATTTAAATACGTGTTGTCATGTGACATTGATTGCAACTCCCATGCCTTCTTGCCCGCATGGTCTCGGCCAAGTAATCAGACCTGTCTCTTTAGTTCCCCACTGGGTGACTTTTCTTCATCCATCATTGCCTTTGATGCTCAGGGTTCCAAAGTTGTCTTCTATTTCTGATTCACTCTGACCATGCCACCCACCATCTTGGACCCCCCTGCTGTGGAATAATTGAGTAGGTTCAAACCACCAACCTTTCAGTTAGCATCCAAGCATTTAACCATTGTGCCACCAGGGTTCCTTAACATACTTATAGCAGCCATATTGTCTGCAGGACCTTGTCTTACTAACACTTTATCCTCAGTGCCCAGGGCCTGGACACAGTAAATGTTCAATATACATTTGCTGGAGGGATGATAAAAGGCTAGAAAGGCAGACAGGGGTCAGATCAAAACAGCAGACTGGGCTGCTCCAAGCTGGGCTTTAGAACAACTGAGAGGGAGAGTCCACCACTAGATATGAGGTGACGTGTCTGGCTGGCTGCCGGGAAAAGCACCAGGAGCTGTAGCTGGGGTGATGGCCAGCCAGGTGGGGGACAGGTATGTTACCACCCACCCCACCCCATGACCAAGCATGTTTCAGGAACCCTCCTGTAGAGATGAAAAACACTCACATGAAGGCTCAGTGAACAAGGATGTTTATTTATTGCAGCATTGTTGGAAGTAATAAACAAAACAGGCAAAAAAAAAACCCCAAAAAACCCTGGGAACCACCAAAATTTCTGAGCCTAGGAGATCAACCGAATAAATAATTACCCATTTGAAAGACTAATAGACAGCTATAAAAAATAGGTTATGTATAAATGGGTTGATCTGGAAAGATGTCATAAGGTGTCTCCATAAAGTCTGTTATTGAATATAATACAGTATGATCCAGTGTTTGAAACAGGTCATATAATGTACTTCTTTGCACATTTTGTATAAGGATTGAGAAATACAGACAGAGGCTACCCAATTGTTAACCACTGCCCCCCATAGCAGCAAGGCTACAGGGGAGCAGAGGAGACCCCCCCAGTACTGTGAGGTCTGTTTTTCATTGGTGGGTCCCTCACCCCAAAATTGCCTTCCCCAGGAGGAAACTCGCTGCCTTTGCAATGCAGCCCAACATTCAGCCAGAGGGTATCCCCACCCAAGCAGACAGCCCCAGTCATCTGCCTGCCTCCCATCCTGGCCACCAGGACCCACCTCCGGCCAGCCAATGTGTGCCAAGCCAATGGGGCCTACAGTCGGGAACAGTTCAAGCCTCAAGCTACCAGTGAGTAAGGACAGAGGCCAGCCTCTCCTATCTTCCTCACTGGCTAGAGGGGAGAAGGCGGGCTACAGGGGAGCAGGAATCTACAGAGTAAATCCCCAGACTTTTTACACAAATGTTTTGAGACTTGGCACATTGGCTTGGCGTGTCTAGGGCCCAGGTGAGATCTCTTCCCAGACCTCCCTGATGTCCTTTAGCTGTCAGGTTCCTCAAATCCTGAGCTCCTTTGCACCCCCACATTCCCCTTTCCCAGTTAGCATGGTTTAACTTTTGGCCCAAGCCCCCCTCACATCTGTCTGCAGCAGCCCGAGACACAGAACTCCACTCCAGGCATGGCTGCAGCCCTAGATACCTGGGTGATCTTAGCATCACTCTGCACAGAAACCATGTGGGGAATTCTTCTGTCCTTCCCACTCCTTCCTGCCTCCCTTGACTCAACAAGCTCAGCAGCCCCAGGGCAGGTGTTTGGTCCACAGAAGCCCTCCCACCCCAGGTGCTCTGGCATTAGCATGCCCAGTTGGGGTCACAGACCATGAGTGGGGCTCATTCATACCCTAACGTGGCCATCTCTGGGCCCAACAGGAGATCTGGAGAAGGAGAAGCGAAGACTCCAAAATATCTTTGCCACCGGGAAGGAGCCGGAAGAGCGCAAACGAAAGGCCCCTCCTGTGTGTCAGCACAAGCCAGTCCCTGAGCCAGATAGGTTTGAAGAACGTAAGTCACTGGTGGTCCGGACATGCCAGGGGAGGAAGGCTATGTGGAGGTCCTGAGGGCCACAATTTGGCTACAGAGCCTCTCCAGTCCCGAGAGAGGCCTCTACTATCCCCATACCTTGCCCCTCCCACCATCACTCCGGGTCACAGGGGACTGTGGGTCCTTCTCTGTCCAGTGGTACAGGAAATCCAAGACAGGAAAGAGTTCCTGGCCGCTATGGAGGCCCTGGGCCAGGGCAGACAGTATCGGGGATTCATCCTTGCTGAAATCTCCCAGGTAGGAGAGAGACCACCAGGGCCATGGGAAGGGGTTGCACCCACCACGAGTGGGAGGCAAGGGGGTGTGTGGAAATAGGGGTCAGCAGTGACCCTGGGTTTCAGCGGTTAGACTGTAGCCTTCCATCTGCCGTGACTTCTGCAGGCCCAACCCCTAGTTCCTGGCTCTCTGATACCCTTTGCAGAAACTACGAGAAATGGAAGATATTGACCACAAGAGGAGTGAGGAACTCAGAAAGGCTCTTGCCACTGCCTAATCCATCTCCAGAGACAGGCACAGGGTCGCCTGGCCTGGATCACCAGAGCCCACCTTTTGGCTGAACAGGGTCATCCCTGAGTCAGTCCCCAAAACCGGCCTCCAGCCATGTCAGATGGTAACAGGGCTGCTCACACCTAGGGTATCCAGGCCTATCTAGCACCCTGTATGATGGGTCACACCTCAGAGAATGAGCTGACTCTCCTCAGATGTTGCCCAGGGATGCTGCGTCAGCTGCTGGAGCTTCTGAAACACGGGCACATACAGTTAGTATTTTCTAGAAAGCCAAGCCAGCGTCTCCCCATCTTGACGTGAGTCTAAGGGCATCCAAACAGACCCTCTCCCAGCCCCACATCTCTGTGTGTGCTGCACACCAAGTTTCCAGGACTTTGGAATACACCATTCCTTCTTCCCTGTCTAAGACCTGCTTAGTTGACTTACAGCCACAGGTAAATGTTTAACTACAAGGATTACACGGCCAATAAAACGCACTGAACGAGGTCATTCCACACACCTTCTATTTCCAGAGGGCTAAGGCGTTATTTGTTCAGGGAATTAGTTTTTCAAACACAGATGTTTCTGGCAACCTGTTTGCATCATTAAGTGGAAATGGAACCAATGGCTCAAGATCCCCACGTGAGAATTCAGGCTCACCAAGATACCATGACCAAGAGCCTACTCAGGATCAAACCTTAGCTTCCTGGCTCCCCTCTGAACCGAGAAGTCAAGGTGTCAGACTGAGCCCATGGCTTCTGACACTCACATTCGCCAGTTCTCTGTCATCCTCTGGTCCTTGGAAGGCCTTGGAGTTGGGACCCTAGCTCCAGGTCAACAGGCACATTGGAAGGAGACCACCAGGGTCTACAGAGGGGCAAGAGCTACCTCTTCCTACAAAGAAGGGAGTCCTGTCCTGAGGCAGGCAGTGAGGTGGACGGCCCCAACATGGCCCCTGCTCTTCCTAGGCAATCAGGGCCAAGCTACAAGGCATGGCCAAGGCAGGGAAGAAAGCAGACCTGGCCCAGGAAAAAAGCACCATGTGGTGGCCCAGGGCGCTGGCTGTCTCCATTTATTATTGGTGAGGGAAATCCTCATGTGTTAATACAGTGCAGTCTTTTCCCATAGGCGTAATGAGGGAAAAGGACTCTAGAGGTGGTCCAGAGACAGCTCAGGACATCAATGCTTCCACCAAGGGCTGCTGGGCAGGGGCCTTGGGGGAAAGGTGGTTGTCCCATCAGCTACTCCTCTCCAGCGGCCATCCCAGACAGGGCAAGAGCTGAACAGAGGAGGGTGAGGAGAGGGGAGAACTGACAACAGAGGAAAGTGAGCAGAAAACAGAACCCACAACAGAGGAGGGTGAGAAGACAAACCAATGATGGCCACATCCTGGGAGGTCCCCCATGCTGGACTGGGAGTGGTGGAGAGCAATTAGGGGCCAGACTGCACTGTTGCAGACCCAGGATTAGCACCTACTCAAAACACACCCTTCCTCGGCTGATGACCCGGGAACTGTAACCGGCCAACCATCCTCTCCGAGGCCCTCCCTCATGGCTGTAGCGTTAGGGGAAATGAGGGTCCCCCCCGCTCCCCGACCCAGCATGGACATCACGGCCCTGCATCCCAGGCAGTGAGGCTTTCAGCAGACAGGGGGGATGGCACAAACATCTCCTAGAACTCTGAGGAGAGAGGGACCCGTCTGTCTGTCAGTCAGTCAGACTCATTCATGTGGGAGGACCCAGCATAGATCCTCCTAACTAGAGTTCCGGAGGGACCAGACACTGAGACTCAGGCTGGGGTCCCTCTGTCCTGCACTGGGCGGGGCCACAGAGACCCAGCACAACAAGGGGCTAGGGTTGGGCAGAAAAAAGCAACCAGTGCACCCAAGCCCTGCTCGTCGCGCTGCAAGAGGGCAGACCTAGGCTAGACGGTGACCATGGGAGCAGACCTCAGGGCTGGGGGCGTGCCTTCCAGTGCTGACTTTTGACAGCTAAGAATCCCATGTAGATATGGGACGGGGACTGAGGGGCCCTCCATCTCAGTGGGGGCTGGGCAAGACCAAGGTGGGCAGCCGCCTGCTGTCCTTCCCTGGACCTTGCTTGTTCTTTGGGTCAGTCACAGCATCTGGAGTCCTTAGAACGGGACCGGGCCCAGCCGAGCTGCCTGGGGCTCAGGGAAGAGAGAAGCCCTTTCTTTGATCCAGGCCAGTCCATGGACCCTGAGAGGGACAGGCATCACCCAGAGGCTCCCCCGTGGAATTTTCTCTTCTCTTGACTGCTCCCATCAGGGGGGAGCCAGGAGGGTGGCTGGTCCCTGCTGTTAGCTCTTGTCCCCAGGGGACTTGCTCTTGTTCTCACGCTTGTTCCCCAGAAGTTTCAGCACCTTCATGGTCTTGAACTTCCCCTTCTTCCTGCCCTCGGGCTCAGCCTCCTTCTGGAACTCTGAAGAAAAGAAAGGGGACACTTCAGAGGAGCAGCAATGAAAAATAAAAACACAGGCAAGCCGGAGGACACATCCATGGGAGGGTGAGTGCCACACTGCCCACTGAGAAGCCCTAGTCAGTCATTCACCTTTGGAGGTCCCTGTGTCTCCATGGATAGAATGGGGCCCTGACAAGGCTCAGGGACAAACCGAACTGGGAACTCTGGCTCAGGCATGCAGGACGTGAGCCGTACGAGACCATGGCAATACAGCAGCTCCCGTCACAGCTGCAGGAGACCTCAGAGCACCTGTGCAGGCCTCTGATTTTGTAGACGGAAAAACTGTGACCCTCTGAAACGGATGAACACCAGCTGAGCTCAGGGACTCGGCACACAGCCAAGGGGGCTCCACCATCATCACCATTTGGCAGGTCCATAGATGCAGAGCTGGGGACTGGAATCAGACAGTCTGACTCCAGGGTCCACCCAGACTTAAGGGCCAGATCACAAAGGGCATCACTGGGGGAGCCAAGGTGAAAAGTCAGGAGGGCTCCCGAGGCACCTGCTCACGTAGGCTTCCCTCGCAGCTTAAGGGCCGCGGCAGATCTCATGGGCAGTTCATGGCTTAAGGCAAGCCCCACACCAACCACAGTCCTCCTGTGGGTGTCTAGCAAGCTATGGCCACCCTCAGAGCCCAGCCATAGCTGAAGGCCCCATGGCCTGTCTCCCCACTCTCCTCATCCCTGGCATACTCATCCTAGAGCGCCCACTCCAACCATCTGCTCAACTTGTCTCCTTGGCCTCTACCCCCAGGCTGAACATACATGGGGGTTCAGGTGGGCCAGAGCCCCTAGCACCAGCCTCATCCCCAGAAGGGGGTCTTATTTTCTTCCTTTTAAAAAGTAATTTATTTTTTGTTGCTAAGAATATGCACAGCAAAAATGTACACCATGTCAGTAGTTTCTAGGGGTACATTCGATAACATTTTTTTCTATCTGCTCTTCCAAGGCATTGCTGTTAATTTGATCCCATAGCCAAAAAACCCACAAATTCACTGCCATGAGTTCATTCCGCCTCACAGAGCTGCTTCCAGGGTTTCTGAGGCTGTAAATCTTGACAGAAGGAAGCAGATGCCTCAATCTTGCCCACACACATGGTGGGTTCAAATTGCGACCTTTTGGTTAGCAGTCCAGCATGTAACCTACTGTAACACTATATATTGTTGTTGTAAGTGCCATCGAGTTGGTTCCAACTCATAGTGACCCTGCATAGGGCTTCCAAGGGGCAGCTAGTGGGTTTGAACCACTGATCTGTGGCTATCGGTCCAGTGCTAATCCTACAGCGCCACACCCAAAGTCCGTAAAACCATAAAGATCGATCTTAAAAGGGCATACTGCTCAGGGCAGGCCTTCTTTGCTAGACTCAACAGCACACAACAACAAAAAGTTACACTGAACTATAGTTTGGCTTGAAGAAGCTGTCAGAGCATGTTTTCTGGTTTAAGGTTTAAGACAATCTCCGGGCAACAGTTTCAAGGGTTCGGCCAGCCTCCACGCCTCCAGAGTTTACCTTTCTTTTTAATCATGGCTTCCAGCATCTTGTCTTCCTCTTCCTCCCTGGAATGAGAAAGGGAAGCTGAGCCACCCACAGGAGGGAGGAAGTGAGAGTCTCCAAGTCCTCTCCAGACTCCTGCTCTGCCCAGACTCTAACAAGGCTGCACAGGGAATGCTGGGGCATGGAGCTCCCCCCCACTCCCCAGGGAGCACCCCTCAGCCATGTCACCTCTGCCGGTCCTCATCTAGGCAGTTAATGATGGCGTTGCGCTGCTCAATGAGGGTCACAAGTTCCTGCATCAGTACCTTCTCCCGGCCGCGGTCCTCCTCCGTCCAGTCCTTTTCTGCCAGGGATAAAAGCGAGTAGGGGGAGGTGAGTGGGGGACCACACCCCTCAAGTCTGGTGACGGCTGAGTAGTGCACACAGAGAGAAGCGTCCCAGGCCCCTGGTGGGAAGGTCACAAGTTCTTAAGAAAATAAAAGTCACTATGTAAGACAGCAAGGACAGTTGGTTGATGAGTTGATGAGGCATGGAGGGGATTGTAACCATGGCAATGAAACGATATACGATAGGATGAATGTAAAACTAATGTTCTCCCATGTAAACGATCACACAATTCACAAGAAAACATTAAAAAAAAAAAAAAAAAGACACCAAGGACACCATGCTGTGTATCCAAACCATCTCTCAAGAGGGATGCTGAGGTTCAGCGCGGCACAGTTCTGAAAGCAGAGGCCAGAATGCAACTGAGGATCCTCCTGTGTTCAGCTGCAGGTCCCACAAATGTAGGGTGGGGGCAGGACTTGAGAGCCACCAAAGGTGGGCAGGCCAGTAAACCCAGGCTTCTTCTTGTTGTTAAATGCCCATACTGGCCCTGTATAGAGTTTTCAAGGAGTGGCTACTGAGCTTGAACTGCCAACCTTGCAAGGTGGGAACTATCAGGGAGTCCTAGGGCCCCCATCAGGAGAAGCGGCATGATCCAAGAAACACTGGGACATTCATCCATGGTCATGCAGGAGGCCCAAGTGCCCAAAAGAGACCACAGGGGTCACCAGGGACAGAGAACCCAGCCACGCTCCTTCATGTCACACAGCTGCTGTGCACAGCCTCCTCTCCTCTCAAGACCCCAAGGTCTCCCCACAGGACCATCCTCAGAACATCCTCCTGCAGGATCCTAGGGACTGGGGCCCACTCTTGACCCGCCCTCCAGAACATCGTCCACCAAGGCCTTTCTGTCCCCAAACGCCACTTCCCTGCATGACCCCTGGCTGAACAAAGGAACAGATGGCCCAAAAGAGTTCTGGGGGTAAGAGCAGGGGCTTTAGAATCACCTACCAAATTCATCTCTCACCCTACCATTTTCCAAGCCTAAGACCTGATGACGCTGTTCACTCTGATACACATGGGGGGAAACTGAGGCTCAGGAAGGTTAAGTCACACCACTGGCCAAGTGGGAGCTAGTATTCGAACCCAAGCTAATAGGGCCTGCCTTGCCCTCCAAGAATGACATCTGTATAGTGCTGCCTCCCCACAAAGGGCCACAAGCTGGCTGGGATACACAGATTGTTCCTGTTCCAGCCACAAGGTGTCACTACAGCTCCCACAGACAGCCTCCCAGAGATTTGGGAGTGACTCAGAAGCTGGGACATCTCTGTGGCTTCTCCAGGGGACACTCCTGCCATCATCAGCCTCCTACATCGGCCAGCCAATGAGAGGCAGGACCACCAGCTCAGCATCAGCAGGGGAGAGCCCGGCTCGGAGACCCTGAGAGACGCCAACTCCAGCACCAGTGGGGAGTTGGCCAAGCCTTCTCACCCTCCAGCTCCTCCTCGGTGATATGGGAACTCCAGTTTCCACCACCTTGGGTTGGCAGGAGGCTGAAACAAGCCTTGTGGAGGCACCATGCCCGGGCCACAGGAAGTGGTCAGGAACTGGCCACCACTCGGTTAACTTAGCTGCATGGTAGCTGACAGTCCCTCAGGAGGTGGGGTGTCTCTCCACGTCCACCATCTATCAATCCTCCACCTGAGGGCCCCCGGCAATCTACCAGGACCATCAGACTCCATAACAAGTCTACCCCACTGCCCTTCCTGTCTCTCAACCCGTGAGGTCCTGTCCTGCTCTGACCTGCTGGCTTGAGCCCAGTGCCACCACGGACAGGCATCTGATGCCAGCCTCTCACCTGGGCCACCCTGGAGCCCCCTCACCAGGCTCTTCTGCCGGGACCTGAGGAAACATCTCATGCTCCAGGAGAGGTGTACGTAAGCCGAGCACCCCAAATGGGTCACTGCCCCACACCATGGACACCCATGCTCCCACTGCCCAAGCTGCTGCCCTGCCTGTGTACCACCTGTTACAATCCCTCCCCAGCCACGTGCATCCCTGTGATGGTTCTGAGCACCCACGCCCCAGACCCACTCTTCCATGTCACTCAGCCCAGATGCATGGCGGCTGGACTCACCCGGCTTGTTGAGAAGGCACCGGAGTTCATACTCCACATCAGCCTGACGTTGCTCCAGGTTTTGCTGCTTGAAGCTAGAAGTGGGGGTAGATGGGAACGTGAGCAATACTGCCTGGCCCACCCCGCCCTGCCAGTGGTGAGGAAGAAGGGGAAAAGGTTCATTTGTTCTGGCTCCGTGGGGGACTCACACATAGATCAACTCAGACTCCCGCCGTACCAACAAGTGCTTCTCATGAATAAGCTTGAACCAGTCCACCAGCATGTCGTCCTCACGGCCCTCTGCAAACCAGATGCCCAGTGAGGCCTTCCCAGCCTGCTCCAGGACAAGGGACCCCATGCCCTTCAGGAATGCCACCCCACCAGGCCCTAGAAATGGGTCCTCGTACCATTCACCCCACCACGCAGCTTTTCCTCCAGCAAGACACCACGGTGTTCCAGGGCATCCAGCTGGCGCTCAATGGTGTCCATCTCTCCATGGATGTCTTCCTCGGGGATGTACTGGTCAGCCTGGACCTGCACCACAGCACCCCGGTCACCTGGAGGACAGCGGACGCCTCCCTCCCTTTGCTCGGCGTACTTTGCTGCTGAGAGCTCCGCCCCTTTGTCCAGCCATCACAAGTGTGGACAGCATGACAAGATGTGGGGAAGGCTGACCCCAAACACTGGCGGAGGGAGGCAGAGTTTCCTGTCCCCTTATGGAAACTCCTCCCCCTTCTCCATCACTCCAGAAAGGGCAGTGTAGAGTGACAGAGCAAGCCTGCTCCAGCGGTAAGCTGAAAAACCCGCTTCTCTTTAAGTAGAGGCATAGACAGCACAGAAACCTGTGGTACCTGAACTATGATTACGAACAAATGGTATGCACCTCCGCTGCCCTTGGATGAAATGCCTGGTCTACTCCAGACCCCTGGCAGCAAGTTAAAGTCTCCAGTTGGACACCCAAGACCTTCTCTGAGACATCAGAGGGTGGACAGCCCATCCCCTCCCCTCACAAAGCCTCAGGCTGGGGGCTCCTGGCTGGTACCTTGCGCTTGATAAGCGGGAAGCCATGTCCCGGGGCTGGTGGTCTTGCTGGCTTGGATCCTTTGGTGGCCTTCCTTGTGGTTGGGGAGGCGGCAGGTGAAGCCTTCCGGTTAAAAGGATTCTCCTTGCAGGAAGACTAAAGGTGGGCAGCCATGACAGAGGATGAACCTTAGGAGGGAGCAGTGAGAACCCCAACAGCCCATTCCTAACCTAGAGTGAGGGATGCAAGCCTGGACCTAGGGCCTTAGAGGCTGGCCTCTGGGAAGGGGTCCAGGCAGAGAGGACCTGCCGGCACATAGTCTCCAATGCACTCGGTTCTTCAGCACCACACACTTCACCTGCCCGTTCAGGGAGTCTTTCAGGTGGAGGGTTGCTTTACTGTGAAGCAGGGAAGGTGCCAGAGCCCAAGCACAACCCAGTGAACCCCTCCCTGCCTACCGTCTGCTCCCACTGCCTCTCAGACTAATCTTGGAGTTAGGGTGGGGAGTGGGAAGAAGCCCCCTTTGGGCCTTGCTCCCTCCACATACACACACTGGAGGGACATGGCAGAATCAGAACCTTGAGGGTTTTTCCCTGTTGCTTGGCGCACCTCCTACATCAAACCACACCGCTCACAAGCCTGCAGTACAGAAACGAGCAGAATTCACCACAGTGGGGGCACTAGGTGCTGCTCAGCCCCTCACTCTCCCTGCAGCCCGAGCCTGGAGCGGGGGATCCTATTCAAGGTCACACGGCAGGGGTGGCAGAGGTGGGATTATTAGCTCACAGTGGCCTTGTCCAGGAGTCAGGGAACCCATCAGGTGCCTGGAACTCAGTGGGGACTGGGCCAACAGCACCAGAGCACAAGAACAATGCCAACCACCCCTCACCCTGCCCCATGAGCTCTCCCACCACCCTCTGAGAAGATGTAGGTGAGCCTTGGGGCACACCCAGGGTGGCTGAGAGTGGGCAAAAGTGGACAGTCAGCCCAGGTGGTACCGAGGGAGAGAAAGAGAGAGGTCCCACTGTGAACTCTGTCCCCACCCTTAGTGGCCCACAGCTGACAAACAAGTACACAAACAGCCCCCAAGGGTCACCTGGAAAAAGTCTCAGTCCCACCTCAATTCCACAGCAAATTAGCAAGGGTCGGGAGAGGCCTGGTGTAGGAGTCCCGGAGGGCAGAGGGCTGGGTCTGTTCTCCGTTTTAAAGACCACCTCCCAACCCTGCTCAAACAGCCCACACAGCTCTGTAAAGGTCCTCCTACCTGTCAGGGGTGGACACTGGCCACCAGCACCTCCTCCTGGAGCCCAGGGCCAGCCCAGGCACACAGGAGCTACTCACTAAATGCTACTGACCCATTTTACAGGAGGGCAGACTGAGGTCTCAAGAGAAGAAACATGACCTAGAGAAAGGAGCCAGCAGCTCCCCTTTTCTGCCCTAGAGAGCCCTACAGGAAACCTTAGTTACACCTAGCAGACAGAGCCCCTGGGGGACACAGACTGGATCTTACTGCAGCTCTGCTGAGGGTCCGGCATAGTGGGACGGAAAGCTGACAGTGGTTGGGAGTGCACAGTGGAAAGGCAGGTATGCAAGTATCTGAATACATGAACAGAGGGACCGTGGACCACTGGAGAGACCAGGTGGGTGGACAGGTGCGCAGGTGAATAGAAGGAGGGAGAGGTGGATTTGTGCTTTATCAGGGGTGGAAGGGACACTCACCTTTACCTGGAGTTGGGGAGATGTATTTCCAGGAGATGCGGGGCTTCTGTCTCCAACCAGCAGGAGAGGGGTGGGGGCAGCACCACTGCAGGGCTTGGCCTCTTGGGCCCCTGGACTGCCCCTCGCATTGGTGCTAAGACCAGGGCTGGCTTGAGGCGTCTGGTCTGAGCGGGACTGCACCAGCTCCCCCGAGGACGACAGGGAAGAGTCGGCAGAGATGCTGGCAGATGTGCCCGGTGTACCAGGGGCGTGGACCACAGGCTCCGACGAGCTCTTAGGCACAGGTGGTGGTTCCAGAAGCTCCCCGCCAGAGGTCTGGTTGAAGCCCTCGGACGACAGGCTCTCTACGCTGAGGGCGGGCGATGGGGTGGACGAGGGGGGCTCCGAGTGTGAGAGGCGAGAGGTGTGGAGTGCTATGTGAATAAGAAAGTGAGCAACACATGAACAGGGCAGCATGTTATGTGGTCCCAGAAAATCAACCACCTCCATGTCCAAGTGGGGAGACCAAGGCTGACAGAGTAGCAAATGCCCAACATGACCAAGGGCATCACAAAGTGGTTTCTCCAACAACCACTTCTGTATCCAGATGGGGAAACCAAGGCCAATGCATGATAGGAATGCTGTCAAGTACCACTGAGTCGGTTCCTACTCATCGTCGTCGTGATGTGCCGTGGAGTCGGTTCCGACTCATAGCGACCCTGTAAAGGATTTCCTTACAGTTCAAACTGACCTTGCAGTCCAGTGCATTACCCTACAGTGCCACATCAGTGGTCCAGTGCATTACCCTACAGTGCCACATCAGTGGTCTAGTGCATTACCCTGCAGTGCCACATCAGTCGTCTAGTGCATTACCCTGCAGTGCCACATCAGGACTCCATTGCAGGACAGAGAAGATCAAAGTATCCTAGCTTATGTGAGTGGCCATCATGGTCTCTCCCCACGCAGAGGAGAAAAGAATGAAGAAAACTGAAGACATATGGAACAGTCCAATGGACCCATGGATCACCTGAGCATCTGCCTACATGACCCTGTGACCAGAAGACTCAACGGTGCCCAGCTAACACTACCAACTGCTCGGAAGGAGATCACATTAGGAAATCCTGGATAGAGTGGGAGAAAAAGGTGGGGGTGGGGGTGGGGCGAACTCAAAATAATTTTTAAAAGACCAGGCTTATAGAGACTGGTGGATTCCCAGAGAATCTGTCTCTTTTAGTCACCTTTCAGTTCGGGCACTGAACTCAGCCCCCAAGGCTCCATTTTCTGCCAAACAATAGACAGGTCTACAAAAGGAACATCACCACTAGACGTCACACCCACCTGAGAATAACTAACCATCTGAGCTCCAAAGGACAACACTGACCCAAGGACAAAATTCAGAGGGGTTAGGAAAGGAGGAGAATTGGAAACAGGAAACACGGGGAAGGGGCAGGAAAGGAGGAAGAATGGAAACAGGAAACCAAGGAAGGAAATAGAATAAGTGATGGTCTATAGTGGGAACTGCAATCAATGAGATAAAATGTGTATGAATTGTTCAATGAAATTTGATTTGCTCTATACATCGCAATTCATAATAAAAAGTTAAAATTAAAATGAAAAGTTCTTTGCTTATCTACCAAGCCCTTCCACAGCCAAGAAAGAAAGGACCAAGGTCAGAACAAGGTCAGTGTCCCAGTTTTTCCAGCACGCCTGACGTTCCGCCTGGTAACACACTGCACATTTAGAGTTCTGGGACTCCTCACTAGCACGTCCACGCCTACAGCTCCGCCACGTCCAAGCCTTACCCAGAGCACAGCCAAATTTAGACATTGCAGCTGCCATGTGAGGGCAACCAGAGAGTAGTGAGGCTGGCTTCCCTCTGCCTCTGACCCTCGAAGTGACCGCTCCGGGTCAGGCACTCTACACATCACTTCAATCCTCACAACACACTCCAAGAGATGGCGTTTTTTTCCAAAAGAGGCAGCAGACGGAGAGCAGAGATGGGAGGAGCCCCAGAAAGACCTGTATCAGACTCCAGAGCCCAGCCTGTCCACTGCACCCCGCACCGGCCCACCCCTCCAGACACAACCAGGCCTTGCAGCTGGGCACCTGCCTCTGGTCATGGCTAACGTGCTCTCGGTCCCACTTCCTTGAGGGAGCTATAGGGGGGCGGGTAGGTCCTACTGAGGTCTCAGTGTAAAACAAGTGGCAACCACCCCCGCTACCCCACCCCCCTGTGCTGACCCCTAGGACACTCACCAAGTGGGGAAGCGCTGGGCACTCGGGGGGCAGGGCGCTTCTTTGTCTTGGGGCTGCTGGTCGGGGTGATGCCGTACCAGGGGTGCAGGGACTTGGGGGTGGACTCCCGGTGGGCTGGGGCAGAGCCGGTGGCCAGGCTGGATGCAGCCAGGGACCCCTCCTCCTCCACATCCTCTTCAAAGGGGTTGTAGGGCTTGGGCTCCAGGCTCTGTGGGACCACCTCCTCAATGCCATTCTCCACACCCCTGTGGCTGGGCGGCTCGGGACTGCTGCTCGGGGGCAGGGGGGCTGGCTTCTTCTTTGGCTCTGCCTGCACCAGTGCGATCCATGGGGGATCCTTCCTAGGGACCGGTGTCCTAAAGGATTCAGGAAGAAACAGAAGTGAATGGCCAGGGCTCTTTCTGAACACTTCTGAGTCTATTTCAATGGGCACCTCCTCTTTGCAGTGTTCCCTTTCCTGTCTCCCCAGAACCTAGCAAGGCCAGTCTCAGCCATTCTTATCCCACTTGGGCTGCATGGAGGTAAATTTCCAAGTCGCACAGCCATGACTACCAGTTTCAAGAGCAGGCTGACCAGGCGGGTACCATTTACAAGCTGTGTGAGATTGGGGAGTTACCTGGCTTCACTGTCTTATCAGTTTCCCCATCCATTCAATGGGGCAATAATCACACTCACCCCGTGTTGTAAGGACTCCCTGAGATCACATACAGCACCTGGCATAACGCCTGGCACACAGTAAGTGCTCAATAAATGTCATCTCCCGCTACAGCTGTGGTAAGTACAGATCCCAAAGAGCACATGCCCACAGCGGTCCTCCCTGGGTAGCAGGGTCCCAGGGTTAGAGGGGCTAAGAGGCCCAAACAGCTGAGCTTTTCTGGGTCTTTCTCTCCTCCACTGGCAGATCTCAGGGTTAACTGTCAGGGAGGCCCAGGTCTCCCAGAGACAAGGAGACTCCAAGGCTCAGAGGCGTGAAGTATGTACCTAGGCCTCTCTACCAGCTCTGCTGCCCACAGGTGCAGAGGCAGCGGGCAGAGGTAAGGTAGTGGCTGTGGGAATTGCAGGGTGAGCCTCAGGGAGCATGCTGGGGGGTCCCACAATGCCCACCACCAGGGTCTGTAAGCGTACCTGTCTGATAGTTTGGGCGTCCCTCGAGGCTTTGGGACGGGTGGCTCATGTAGCCTTCCTAGATGGGAAAGGAGTGTGAGATAGGCCTTCATGGGCAGCCGGATGCTGGAGAGCAGAGCTGGGCAGCCGGAGAGCCAGCAGAGTGGGCCTCTCCATCGAATGCCCTTCAGTCTTATCATGGCAACCTCCTGCACGCCCTGGTACCTCCCCCAGCACTGGAGGAGAGGAGATAAGCACAAAGGTGACCAGAATAGAGAACAGTCAAGGTCAGGGCCAGGCCAATGGGCAGCCCCCACCGTGAGGAAGATATAGTGTCTCAATTCAGCTCACTTCACCTCGACTCCTAGATGTGTTCTCCAAAACCTGCTTTCCTGCATTTAAAGGGCATCTACCTTTGACTGCCACCACACACCTGTCAGTTTGTCATACTGTGATGGCTTATGAGTTGCTATGATTCTGAAAGCTATGCCACTGGTATTTTAAATACCAGCAGGGTCACCCATGCGGACAGGTTTCAGATGAGCTTCCAGACGAAGATAGACTAGGAAGAAGGAGTGACAAACCACTTCCGAATATTTAGTCACTGAACACCTTATGAACAGCAGAGAAATACTGTCGGATACAATGCCAGAAAATGAGCCCCTCAGGTTGGAAGGCACTCAAAATGCAACTGGGGAAGAGCTGCCTCCCCAAAGTAGAGTTGACCGTGATGAC